GCCCTGGGCAGCTTTCACCCTCCCAGCCCTACGCACGCCCTCCCCAGCCACCCGGAGGAGGATGCAGCCTGCAGCAAATCCACCCCCTCCTTGCATCATCGGTTTTGGGGCTGAAAGCATGCAGGGTGACTCTGGGGTCCCCTGGCAGGGCCAGTGGATGCAAGGCTTGTGACTTTGTGCTGTCGTTACCCACCTGGCTGGTGTCGTGGGAGGTGACATGCAGGCAGCCTCTGGCTGTCCTTTGGGCTCAGCTGAGACTGGGTCTCATGGGGAGTGTTCAGCAGTGAGAAGCTGTCATCAAATGAGGTGAAGGAAGGCTTGTACTGGTAGCTTAAACCAGTACATGTCTCAGGACTCACCTTATCAGTGAGGAAGCCTCATTTCTCCTTTGCCTTTGGACCATATGTTGATCCAGGAACTCTTTACCCAGGGAACTATCCAGTTCTGTCATGGATTTACTGGTTTAACTAAACAGCACAGAGGGATCCTGTGGAGTTGGTGTGAGCTAGTAGCAACTTGGCCCTTCTCAGCTGAAGTGGCAGAGATCCTACCACTTTGTACCTGTTTAGTGTCTGAAGCTGCAAATAGCAGCTCTGTGGACCCTTTGTTCCTGCACTCTGTGCTGAAAGAGGAGCTATGAATAGACAGGACAGGCTAAAACTTGGGATCAATCAGCTACAGAATGAGTATGAAAGGTCTTTAAGGTAACATCCCTGGAAGCATGTTAGGACACAGGCAACAAATCTGTTCATGGGGGGAGAAGCAGGTGACTGGAATTCAAGAAGGAAATTGAGAGTCATGCAAGTACTGGTAAAGCTGCTTCTTAGACTTGTGAACCTCCACAAGTTGTCTTCTGCTCTGTTGATAATCTGGGGCCAGCTTTGAGAAGCTCATTAAGCACCAGCTCTGTCTTTGGCCCCAACGTGGCCCAAATGGAGAGCCAAGAAGTAGAAGAGCAAGCTGGTTTCCTATTGTGGATGCAGGACATGCCTCCTCAGGCTCACCACATGGCTCCTTGGTGTAAGACTTGGTGGAAGATTTAGAAAGGCCTGCCCTGCCAAGAGCCCTGGCTGCACCAGGCAACTCAGCAGCCATCAGGGAAGCTCTGGGGTTCCCTCATTGGTGGTGAGCCTTCTCACTCTGGATGTGGGGTGTAGTCATCCTATGCTGACTGTCTTAGATGAGGGCAGAGGCTGCCAAGCCCAGCACATCTCCGTATTACCCGGTTGCTTTTTGGTGACACTTCCAGGCACAGCTGGGGACTTACAGAAATGTCAGACTGCTCTTCCCTTGGCTAAATGGAGCAGCAGCAATAGAAGGGTCAGAAATGGTTCATTCTTGTGGTGTGGGCCTGATTTTCTGACCTGTGTGCTCAGTGTCAGCCTTGTGAGCTGGGGGGCACCTCCCTTGTCCCGGCTGTCACGTAGCCTCCGCACCCCGCAGGCAGTGAGGAGATACCCATCTGCTGCTGCAGCTGCACCTGCCAAGAGGCTGGGGGGACTCAGCTCTCCTGCCTCAGGTCTCAGCCACCTTTGGGCACAATTCATTTGTCTTGGTGCTGAGCTCATCTGTCACTTGCTGCTGGGGGGGAGGGAAGGGGCACTGACCTGGAGCACCCGCACCAGCCTGCAGAGCAACGGCTCTTCTTGTCTGGCACCCACATCTCCCGCCCATCAAGCTGGCTGTCTGCTCTCTGATTTATTGCTGACACACGTGCTGTCTGCCAGCAACTGTTCATGACCACTGCCTGTCCCCTCTTTGCCCAGCAGTGACATTTTCAGCCCCAAGGCACAGCACCATGCACCAATGGGATTTCCAGCCATGGCCTGACCTTCACAGTAGCCTCAGGATCCAAGTTTGTTGCATCACAGTTTGCTCCCCATAGGATGTCCTTTAGCAAGAACAGTGTCATAAGGTTATTGGTCTCTTATTTAAGTGGCAGGAAGTAACCACAGGCTTGTCCACACCCCTTTCTTCTTTTTGAAATGTCTTTTCAAATAAACGTCACGTTCTCCACCCGCTTCATAGAACAAAGGAGTCAGATACCCACAGAAAAACTTACAGCCTTCACACCAGGGCTATCAAATCACCAGAGAGCAGCTTGTAAGTGCTGCACCTACTTGCCTAGAGACTTAGATTCACCCCTTGATTAGATACACCTCCATAGAGAGGGCCTGTGTTTGTTCAGAAATCACTGTAGTGGCGTGGGCATTCCAGGTGAGCTGCAGCATCTCACCTGGTGGGGACACAAGCTGTAGACATCACTTCCCAACACCCATTCCTGCAGAGGGTCAGTGACCAGGCTGTTTCCTGCAGACTGCACCTGCACAGCAGTGCCCTGCAGGTGGGATCTGTGTGGTAGCAATGTGCCAAATGGTGGAAGAGAGAGAAATAAGTAGCGTGGCAGCCCCACTTCAACTAGCACCGGAGAGGGACAGTGAGCCAAACGCTGGACAGGGGAAAACCACCCTCCATTCATGATGGCCCAGTCACAATGGGACAAGGATAGATTCCAAAGAATTAATAATAAATCTAATTTTCATGACACTGCCAAAAATGCAGAGTCAAGTGAATACCTGCTAGGCAAAGGCCACAACAATACTGTTATAATCCAGACGTGCCTGCTGCCAGGAGGAAGTGCCATTAGGATGGTGTATCAAGTAATCAACAAAACAGGTTTTCTAACTGGGAAAAGAGCTTTGAACGGGCTTCTCTAAAACCTGTTCACAACCAGTTTGTCTCCTGACCTTCCCACCCCACCTTGTTATCCCTTCCTTAATTTTTTGCAATTTCAAACATTCTGAAGCTGCATCCAAAAGGAAGAACTTCCCAGGCATGACACCTCAGAGAAAGGCAACAAAAAACTGCTGCAGCACCTGTCAGGAGTGGCACTGGTGGAACAGCTCCTGATCAGATCAGGCCTTGTGCTTTCACACACTGAGTCTGTTCATGCTGTTCAGGTGATTCCATCTCATCCATGAGAGGACAAGGTTTTTTTTTCCATGTCTTCCTTTCTCTGTTCCCTTTCCCCCTACACTAGAGAGAGGCACTTGCCTCCTAGGCTGTGCTCACACGTACTGAAGAACTTACAAAAAGATGTTTATTTCTGCCCACAGCATTATTAGAAACCTCACAGAAGGGCACCCAGAAGACAATCAAGTGGAACCATCTGCAGCAACAGAAAAGGTGTGTAGAACAGACAGAGCCTGCGAGGTCACAGATCACCTAGTGGGACAGAGAGGAAAAAGCAGGTCTCCCTGCTGGACCAGCTCCACAGCAGCTTTCTAAGCTCTCCGTACATGACAAAGCCACAAGGCTTCTTGAAATCACTCCTCCATTGCCACCTTCCCTCTCTCCTGAAGGACCCAACACTTGGATAGAAAAGCACCGCTCCCCAGGACAGCTGGCAGCAAGGGAGAAGAGGTTCAGGGAGGTAGGTCCATCTTGTTTAAACTCACCAGCTCTCTGGGGGTGGCACTGCTGAGAGCAGCAAACAGCAATGCCAGCACACACAGGACAACTGGGTACTGAAGCTGTCTCCTCCATCAGGGTTACTAGAAAAAGGTGTTTTTAAACTGACTTCAATACATGGAGAACAGAGCTCCCATTTCTTCAGGTGGCAACACTGTTGACTGGATGGCTCTACAAATTTAAACTCCTTTAAGAAGTGACCCTTTCCCTTCTTCTAGTGAAGTCCCATTCATAAGGGTACTTAGGTACAGTTAGAACCCATTGCTTCTCATCCTTTTCCTCCCAATTCCAAAAATATGTGTCAGGATGGAGTGCAAGGAAGGAGTTTACTTAAACAACTACTCCTTAACATGATGTAAACACCCACCAAGGTGTTACTCACAAGGTAACTTTGAAAAAGTCTCTTTTCTGCTCTTCTGCAAATCATAATTTAAAAATTATTTTATTAAAAAATCTTTAGGGAAGTTAAACAGCTACTGAAGTCTATATTGTTGAACAAGACAAAAAATGAACCAGCACATCCTATATACTTACATGTCAAGAGCCTCAGTAGTTGGTGTGTTACTTTCATCTGCCACCCTGGACTCATTTTAGACCATTTTACATATATATTAAAATATATTTTATTAAAACAGCACAAGAGAATTAAATGAAGGAGCACTAAGTGGACATACCTATTTTTATTATCAAAAGATGAAACGGATGCATTTAGTGTATTCAGGGTTTTCTTTTAAAATGTTCATCTTTTATTCACTTGTCAGGAGCCAATAAGTTATATAAATCATAGTAGTTTTCATTTCCTTACTGAAGCAGTCAACAACAGTTTTATTTCTTACACTGACTCAGTAGCACATTAGATCATGTCTTGGTCTTTGTTTTCCCAGAGACTCTTCTTACAGTGGCTTCCTTCCTTGTGCAGGTTTCCATGAAACCTCTTCCCTGTTCCCAGTGAACCTGAGGGTTCCCCCCTGGAGGTTCCACATGCAGCCATCTCAGGTGTCAAGGCACTTGGTGCCAGGCCAGGACCATCTGCACCCCAGAGTGGCCACCACACACCACAGCCACCCCAACCCTTCCACCACACTGCTGCACTTTCAAGGAAGCCAGAAATGACAGTGAAGCTCCATGCTGAAGGCAGGGGCAATGATTCCATTTGACAGATGTTAAACCAAATACTGCTGTATTTAATTAAGAGTTCAGAAGGTTAAAACCATAGACAAATGCACAGAACTTCTGCCAATGACAATGAACTGAGGCAGCAACATTGTCATCCCCATGCTTTAAACAGTGTCTAAAGCAACTTCTAAACAAGTATATTTTGGGATACTCATGTAGAACTTAAATGGTGATTTTTGTTTCCTTTACCTAGTATGAAGGGTTTTCAAACACTTCAGTAACTTATAACTAGTCCCACAGTTGCCATGTTCCCATCTGCTTCTCATAAGCAGACGTTTTGCTCTGAACACCAATAACAGATTTTTTCCCAGTAACAATGCAATCTAGTTTTCATGGTAACACGCAAACACATTCTAGTCTTGCTCATCTTCATCCTCATCTTCATCCCCTTGATCTCCAGATTCAATATCATCTTCATCTTCAACCTGAAATTAAGGAAGATCTGTCATGAGCAGTAACATCCCTTACTCTTATTCAACCTTTTGAAGGCAAGACAAATGCTGAGGGAGTGAAAATAAGCTTAAAGCTCAACTATAATTATCATGCTGTATCAATTAACACTATAAAGGCAGCTGTCATCATGTAATGCCACACAGTTCCATGTCTGTAAGGATGGCTGTCTCCTGGGAACAGCACCTCCCTTCAGCACCAGCAGCTCTGCCCTGGACATTCAAGTGAGCAACTTAACTCACACATCACTTGCCCATACAGTTACTTGAATCAAAACCTGCCTTCTTCACCCAGTAGGCTGAGGAGGAAACATCTGTCCAGTGCTTTGCAATGCCATGAGTGAAGCTGCTGCTGCCTTCTAGGGTACTTTGTCCCTACTTAAGTAATGTAAAATTAGCAGACTCCAAGAGCCCTCAGCTACACTTGCACCATCTACACTTGCTGCAAATACTTGTCACTACAAATATTGCCTCTGCCCAGCACAGGCTCCTGCACCTGAAGCTAAAACAGGTGACTGTTCACTACCAAAATCTAATCCTTCCCTAAGCAGGTTTGCATAAGCAACAGAAGGATTGTCTCTCAACAGGAAAACCCAGGTTCCAGCCTGGTGTTCAGCCACAATAACTGCAGCAGAACAACTTGTTGCATCCACCTTATGGTCATACAGTCCAGCTCTACATCACACCACACAGCAGACAAGGCACCCTGAATCTGACCTGACAGTTTGCAGGCCCTGCTTAACTAGAATGCTTTAGTCTGCTGCTTATCTGTGGTAAGATCCCTTACGATGAGAACACTGCCATCATCTCCTTCCCAACTGGAAGCCAGGCATTTGGGCAGATATTGTTCCAGACACAGACATGACAAGTACTTGTCCTCACAGGAGTTTGGCAGGTCCCTCTCAGCATCCCTAAACTGAACACTTCTTCCAAGAGGCAGTCATCATCTCTTACTGGTGGGTGCCAAGGGAAGTTGAGAAAGCAGCTCTGGTAGATCCAACAGCCTTCTGATTATAGAAGGTTCCTCACCAGACTTGCTGGATCAAGGATTGCCACCCCCAGACTGTTCAGACCTGCCTCAGACCCAGGAACTCACTGTCCCCATCGCTTTGCTTACCGGGACACCAAGATTCTTCAATTTGACCTTCAGTGCAGACAGCTTCTGATCCTGGTCAGCCAAAAGCACCAGAAGAGGGAGTAAGCTACTGCAGCCAGGCAGTAGCCTGGCCAGACATTTGCTTTTCTCATCTTGCAAGATAGCAACTGTACTACTGGATGAATCCAGGTGCTGTTTCAATGCTTCTTTTTCCTCGGAAAGGGCTTTGACTTCACTCTGGCAACAGGAAAAACCCCAGACCAAGTTACAGCATAAGCATCAGAACAGCTGAAGCCTGACTTCCTACAAACTCCCTCCATACACTTCCTGAAACAGCTGCAACCCCACCGAGTGCTCTGTGGCTTCCACACACTTCCTTACCCAAACTCCCCTCATTGACAACCTAGAGTAAGGTAGGTAGAAGCCTTAATAGTGGCTACCTTCCTCCCAGCCAAACAGAATGAGGAACAAGTACCTATCAGAGTAAAGCCATATCCTAGACTGTCCTTACCAACTCTTTAAAGGCAGACAAGGTCTACATTTCCCAAATGAAAAATGAAGGAGGAGATGGATCCAGCCTCTGCGTAGCCAGAAACACCCCAGGTGCTGAGGAAACAAACCACTTCCACCCAAAGCCTTTCCCATTGTAGAAGTCCTTCTAACCAAAGGCTTGACAATCAAGTCATTTGGTTTGGTGTCCATCCACTACCAACCTTCAATTGTTTTATTTCTTGCTCAAGTTGTCCCGCCAGGTCAGAGTTGCTGGCTGCTGAGGCACTGCTGTCTACTGACACAGGGTCTGCAGCTGTATTCTGTGGACACAAAATTCACTGTCAGAACACTGAATACCTCACATATCAAGCCAACAAGCTCAGACATTACACAGTCAGTTGTGGGATTTAAAAGCATCTTTTCTCTTCACAGCATAGGCAAGGTGTGGTGGTTCTATACAGCCTGTGCTGCAAGGCATCAGGATGCAGGTCTGTGCTCCCTGGGGTCTCAGTAAACTCATACACACACAACAGGGAGAACACATGGTACTACCCTTCTTCCAGAGAAGCTGTACTCTGGAAAGACCATTAGGTTTTTTCCTAGGTTCATACAGGCCATCAGCCTTCACTCAGATGGCTTAAGTCCCAAGTATTTTTATTAAGCTAAATATCCAAATCTTTCTTTGTGACTACTAAAAATGGCAATGGTTTAGTCTTAGCCAGGCCTACCCCAAGTTACTATTTCCAAAACGTGGCAGCTGCCTTTCAGGTAAAGTGCAATTTTATGCAATTTATGCAAAAAAAATGCAATTGCTTCTGCAGTTACACCACGTTCAGGTGAAAGCTGTAGGAAAGGCAGGCAGCCTGCAGGGTGGCCAGAGGAGGGCTGACTGGAGGTGGCAGCTCTGAGCACCTGGAAGTGCTTCTGCCTCCTAAGCACATGTGGTCAACACATGTGCAATGGCAGCCAACACTCCTGCCCCTGGAAGTGTTAAAAGCCTTGCTCCTTCAGGTGATCCATACATTTAACACCTGTCTTTTGCCCACACAAGTCCTCTTTGTTGCATTACTGAAATGCGAATTTGGCATGCAAGTCAGAACCAAGAGTTCAAGCAAGTCCAGCTGCCCTGTCTTCATTACAGCAAAGCTGTCAAGCAGGGCCTACAGGAGCCACCCTTGTGCCTGAGCACCACCTGTCATCATCCTTTCCATTGCTGGTGTGGCCTCTGCTCCTGCACCTTCATGTCAGCTCTGCTGCAGAAGCATCTGTAACATGTTCAGGGAAGCCCTCTAGCTCCACATTCAATAATGCTTTTAGATAGTTTTGAGGACACCATCACATTTCTTTAGCTATTCTATAAGGCCTGGTGGGCTTATCTTTCAAATACACAGCTAAAATGCTCTGAAGCATGTGGAGGTCTGCATAGACATTGTGCCTTCCATCTGCCATTCAGCTGTTAACTTTCAAATGAGTACCTTCAACTGTTCTTAAGAACAATGATCTCTAATGCATATCATGTATTTGGGTCTCACAAGAGACTATTTCCTTAGATTGGGGTATTTGCTTAAGCCACAGAATAGCTGGTTTTCCTTTGTTTAAAAATACAAAGGACCAGTGGCCTCAAAGAGTACTAAATTCATTAGAAGTCCCATCTTTCCTCATGAAGGACTTATCCAGACAACAGATAAAACACTGTTGGAATCACTTGCTAGTTTATATTTATAAAACAAGCTTGGTTTAGGACAACAGCTACAGAGAGCATAAGCAAGCAAAGTCTTCAACAAGGGGAAGTGTAGAGTTTTGCATTTGGGGAAGAACAACACCATGTCCCAGTACAGGTTGGGGGCTGACCTGCTGGAGAGCAGTGTAGGTGAAAGAGACCTGGGGGTCCTGGTAGACAGGAGGATGACCATGAGCCAGCAATGTGCCCTTGTGGCCAAGAAGGCCAATGGCATCCTGGGGTGCATTAGAAAGGGTGTGGTTAGTAGGTCAAGAGAGGTTCTCCTCCCCCTCTATTCTGCATTGGTGAGGCCACATCTGGAGTATTGTGTCCAGTTCTGGGCCCCTCAGTTCAAAAAGGACAGGGAACTGCTCGAAAGAGTCCAGCGCAGAGCTACGAAGATGATGAAGGGAGTGGAACATCTCCCTGATGAGGAAAGGCTGAGGGAGCTGGGTCTCTTTAGCTTGGAGAAAAGGAGACTGAGGGGTGACCTCATCAATGTTTACAAATATGTAAGGGGTGAGTGTCAGGGAGATGGAGTTAGGCTTTTCTCAGTGATGACCAGTGATAGGACAAGGGGTAATGGGTGTAAATTGGAGCATAGGAGGTTCAAGGTGAATATCCGAAAAAAATTTTTTACTGTAAGAGTGACAGAGCACTGGAACAGACTGCCCAGGGAGGTTGTGGAGTCTCCCTCACTGGAGACATTCAAAACCCACCTGGATGAGTTCCTGTGTGATGTACTCTAGGTGACCCTGCTCTGGCAGGGGGGTTGGACTAGATGATCTCTCGAGGTCCCTTCCAGCCCCTAAGATTCTATGATTCTATGATTCTATGATTCTATAACAAAGTCACTCCTCACTGTCCCAGGTTTCTCTAGGAACAGAGTAATTTTGGTTTATTTCCATACCATCTTTGAATAGTAAAGACTTAACACAGATGTCATCCATACCTTCCTTCTATTATTCTTTTTTTCACTGCCTTATACATGCTTTCTTCTGCATGGAAACACTATAACAGCTATTAAAAAAAAAAAAAAAAAAAACAAAAAAACCCCCTCAAACAAACAAAACAAAACAAAACCAAAACAACAAAAAAACCCAAAACCAAACAAGTAAAGATACTTATTCTTATTTATTAACCAAATAAATTATTAATAAATTTTTTTTTATATAAAATATTTTAAGTTATCAAGGGGGGTTGTATAAATTTTGCTCCAAATCTCGATACACTGGACTTAACTGGATCTGAGAAAACAGAAATTGTGGCTAACTTTTCTGTGCTAAACAACTTACTTTCTTGGAAAAAGGTTTAAATATTTGATTCTTTTGTTGCACCTGTGTAGTAATAAAGAAGAACTTCATAGTTACACAGTTCTTTAAAATTAGCAGGTGTCACCTTCTGTGTGAGAACAGTCACAGACTTTACTGTACTTTATAGGAGGAGCTGACAACATGCCGAAGGAGCAAGAAGACTGGGAAATCTGGTGAAAATGGAGGACAAAATACTTCTTGGAGGTTTTCAGGATAGAAAAAGCTGCATTACTCTTTGCAACCCTCACGCTTCAAGGTGTTTTAGCTAACAGGTTGAAAGAATTTTGTAGGAAGACTATGCTAGCAAGGACTGTTCCCCAAGCAGCTCTTACTAGTGTCACAAGGCTGGATCTATTTTACAACATTAAGATCACCCTCTAAGCCTGCAGCAATAGCACTGGCTGTGAATTTCCTGATGGCTTGCAGGATGCACTAGAGCATTCTTGCCCTCCTTTTTCTGCACTCATGTTCCTTTCTATGCTTTTCTCCTCCAGCCAGGGCCTTGGAAGAGCCCTGGGGAACCTTTCAGTAAGTCAGGGAAGCAGAGCTAATGATGGCAAAAGGGCAATGCCCCATTTCATATGATGATTCTGCACTCACTGAAATAAAAAGAGACATAGTCCCCTATCCCAGATGAACCTGCTTATTAAATAAAGATTGGCAGAAAATGGATTTTAGAATCCTTCCATTTTGGTTTGTATACAAAACTTATTACCTCCCCTGCCATTCCCAAAAAGCCCCAAATCAAAACCAAGCAAATCTCTTCATTTGTTAATGTAAGTTCAAAATTACATAGAGATTGGAGCATGAATTAGTTCCATTTCAGATACCATTGCTGTATAATAACAACTTTCACAGATGCACTGCAAAAGTCTTCTTCACAGCAGTTACTAGCACATAACCCAAATAAGCCTAATGCAAGCAGCAAATTAAATGTAGTAAAATGAGATGGTAAATTAATATAATAAAATTATGAGTTCAAGGTCCATGACATTGAGTATAGATTCACAAACCTGTGCAGTAAAAATATTTCAGAAATGCAAAGCTGCATTTACATTTTTCTATAATTCAGTCAAGCAGAATATATGTCTTGCTCCAAAAATAGACAACGTGCTGATAAACTGAACTGTCATTCCATGGCTTGATGGAGTGGAATAACTGACATCTGTGCCAATTTCACTGGAGGAGTAAGTGACTGTAATCCTCAGCCCTACATCCAAGCCTATATTCTCTTGATTTGTGTGGTAAGCAAAAACTACAGATGAGTATTTAATGTTGAGGCCAGCATTTTCTCAGATGGCAAAAACCTGCATCTATGAAGCCACAAACTATTATCACCTAAAGAGTAAGCACTTACTTACTTTTTTTTCAGCAATAGGTCTGATATTCAAGGCATTTCCAATGCAAGACTAAACAACAACTTCCCTAC